TTGTCAAGAAGCAAGGGCAGCTGCAGCAGCGGAGTCGCTCAGTGGCACAGAAGCTTCACTTGAAGCTTCAACATGCCAAGCTGCTTGGCCCAGCAATTCCAGTCTTTCTGCCAAATCTGTTGCATGTGCTCCCGCACCGCCGCAAGCTTTGGTCCGCGCAAGTCATCGCAAGCCATCCCAGGATCAGACAGAAGCTGCACCACTTTTTCCACTCATGGCGCTGGCAAGCTGCACAAGGCCTCTCCCCGGGCCATCCCCGCAGTAGTGGTGAAAGAACGATTTGAGATTGCAAAAGGGAAGAGTGATTTCAGCCTGTCCATAGCCCAGTATCCCGATGCACCCGCTGAAGGTAGTGCTTCTTGAGTCGGGTAGACAGTAGATCCTCGGCGTCTCTTCCACAATCTGCAGACCAGAAGTATGAGCGGGAGGGGTTGGAAGAAGAATTACGAGGAAGATATTGGGAAATTCACGACAAACAATAGTTCAAAAGGGGAGGCTCTCAGATCTTCCCCCACAGAAATCTTAACAAACCCCAACATTGGTGCATGTCGTGGACCCAGGGCTAGGATCCCCCCAAAAAAACGTCTGCAATCTTTGGGGAATATGCCATGCGATTCGATAAAGACATTAACAAGCCGACCCGTCCGAGGCAGCCGACAGCAGATCCAGCATGAGTCCAACAAGAGAGAACTGATTATTCATCGAGCCTTGCATGAGTTGCTCTATTGCTTGTGTCTTTTTGTTTTAGTTCCATCTTATGGTTGTGATTCGAGTGCTACTACTATACTATTTGCTCGAACGTATGCCCTCTGCCCAAAGACATGAGTTGGGTGAGTATGGAAGGTCTCCCCAGAAAGAGATGTTGGCCAGAATTTCACCTGACCCATTGGCGGATTTAGCGCCTGCTAGTTTTCCGACATGCCACTGCCCAAGCCTCATGCTCATCGCCCTGTTAATTTTTATTGTTGCCTGCACTGTTGATAATTCCAAGGAATTGACCGGATGAGTAGACTGCTGCAACTTGGCCGCGAGCAAGCGTGAGCATCCCAAATTTGTCGTTCAAGAACTTTTCTCTGGAACGATTCCTTCAAGATTCTCGGATGGGAGCTTCCTTGCCGGTGAATCGGATACCCCCAGCACTGACATGTCCCACCCACACTGAAGTTTGCAGCGCTATCGAGACCAGGCAGGATCCCTCATTCAAAAGCTAGTTCATCTTGCAGGGCGGCACATGCACTTGTGTCAGAAGTAACCTTTGAAATGCAAGTGAGTAAGCCTGCGATCTGTTCAAAACACAGGATTAAAGCTTATTCTATCCAAGCCGTTGCGAACCTCATCTGGAAGGCCTAAAGCCAAGAACGCTACACCACCGAAACCCTAAACACCAGCAGCCCGTTTTGTTTTCCATTATCCCTATAAACCCCCAATTATACCATAGTAGTTTCCATTGTATTTTCCATTATACTATACTATATTTTGCCATAATAATACGATCAGGAGTACCCCGGCGCCATCCTGGCAGAGCGCCTTCAGCACTGATGGGCCTGGCAGCCCAAATGCGAGTCGCGAGGTGCGTGCCCAACAAAAAAGGGGACGACTTTGTATAGGTTTAGGGTTTAGGGTTTAAGGGGGTTTAGGGTTTAGGGGGACTTAATATAGGGGCCTAAACAATTACCAATATTATGGTTCCATACCCCTTGTATAATTATAGTAGATGGTACCCTCAAATGAACATCAAAATGATATTGGTAATTATGTAGGCCCCCATAGTAGGGGTTTAGGGTTTTTGTTGGGAGTTCGTATCTTTGACATACGGATGGTAGGCTGGTACTGCTTTGAGGTATACATAGGGGAGATCCGACATCTTTTTGCAAATGCTCATGAGCTAGTCCGTCTCATCATGTCCAGAAGTTTGGTGCGACCATTTTCGGAGCTTCTTGCACCACGTTCTTTGTTTGGGTAACGGGTAAGAGGATCACGCTCCAGCCGGACAACCATGTTGGAGATGATCGGGCGGAGAGCAATGCAACAAATTCATCCGAAGATTAAGGTTGACAGGGTGAAGCCAAAGCTGGCAAAGCCTCACAAGCGCAATGCCCGTCCTAAGCTCGAAGACAAGCCACCCTGAAACAAACTACCCTGGCATGGTGTAGGAGCAGAGTTGGGAGAGCTGGCGCAGCTGGCGAGCTCCAAGGCCGGCAGCAGATCGCTGCACATCACGCACTGCCTATGCATCTAGACTTTTCTGCGATGTTCTTGCTACTGTGCGCAAGGGTTTTGTAGCTGGGTCAGGATGGCGTACATTGCTTCAAGACATATCTTGAGGTACAGGCAGTACCCTGCGCGCATTTTTCTGTTAGCCCAGCCTTCCTGCGTCAATCAATATGTCTCCTCAGCCGCACAGGTCTGCGGAAGGCTCGCCATCCCCTCGAGGCCAAAGATCGCCTCAATCAACGCAGCAGCTTCGTCGCTCACGAGCTCTTGCAACGAAGCAGTCGCTGCAGCGTAGGTCCCTTGTCAGATTGGTTTGCTCCATGTCTGATTGCTTGGGTTGCGACGCTCAGTCGCCCGGCAAACCTAACCCTGTATAGGCCTAAGCCTACCGTGCATGGACGCCTGTTGTTTTAGCTTGTTCTGTTCACATGTCTCAGGTTTCTTTTAATGGCAGATGGCTTGGTTGCAAGCCAGCTGCGTGCTGTTCTTCTGAAGTGGCACAAAGGATTTGCAACGAGGACCTTCCTAGGGCATAGGAGATCCCCGCTGTGTGCTAGATGTAAGCCAGCGTCATCAGCTTTGCCGCAACTAAGACGACCAAGAAAATCTTGGAAATCTGCCAATGCAGGAAGACGGCTGTGCTCATCCTGAAGAGCGTGTTTCACCGATGCCTTGAAGCTTGGCTGCTGAAAGGTGCTTATCATGAGATCCGTTAGGGTGTCTTCCCAGAAGAGCTGCTTCAAAGAGGGCAGCAAGTATCAAAAGGTAGGGAAACTAAGTAGCCATTGGCCAACTGTGTCGTAAGGAGCGACGTGGCCGCGATGCAATGTGTCATTTGCGGGCCCAAGCAGGCCGGAAGGCAACAGCAGTCCAAACAACGGCTGCTCCAATAACGTTGGACAAGGGCCTGCAAGCATGCCTTGCAGCACAAATGTCCACGGACAGGGGCATCCAGGTCTTGGCAGCGATTCCGAATTCATCTGATAAGAGTACACAGGTGATCTCCGTACGAGATAGTCTTGCAACCCCATGGTGTCGATCCTGGCTTGCACGAATGCTTCGACGTGGCCAGCGCCGTTATCTACTCCGCACCTGGTGTGCGTGGACTCGTCAGTACGTGGAGCGACGCCTCGCAAAGGCCCTGAATGACAAGCTCGGGTCGAGGCTGCAATGTGTACGCTCCAGGTCAGCGCGAAGCTATTTGAAGATTTGGAGCCAGCACTGTTTGCAGGAACGGTTGCTTCGTGCTCTACAGGTCAGACAAACAAATGCACAAGTTATTGGAAGGGCTCTGTGTAGGCTGGCGATGCCCAGCCCCTTCATGCAGCGGGCTGTGCTGCAGTCATGGAGGGGCATGCGAAAAGCAACTCCAGCCCTGCGCTGTGCTTTTCGACGCTGGTACCTGCACACGTCTCGCAATCGATCTATGCAATTTGTGCAAGGCCTTCTTAGACATCAAGCTGCATCCTCTCAAGCTCAGACTTGCTTTAACAGTTGGAAGGCGATGCTGACAATGACTTGCGTAGAGCGCCAGATTCAAAGCTCCCAGCGAGCTTGTTTGGCATCCTGTGGGCGGTTGGACAAGTTTCACAGCCGTGCTCTTCTAAGCAAGGCCTTGTTGCAGTGGCAGCGATTGGCAGCAGAGGCGTCAGCCCGAACTCGCCTCAGCTTGCTTTGGGAGCGTGGATTGGCCCCTCGTCGAGCTGAGCAAGTCAGTTGCCCTTTCTTGGCATGGAAGCTTCTGCTCACTGGCAAGCGCTTATTGTCTTCCAAGAAACTTAGCACTGTTGCTGCCCAGCAGGACCCATTGCATGTGGGAACTCGCTTTGCTTTGCATTGCTTGAATGCATTGCAACATCAAATCCACTGCCTCCAGGAGAGCTCGAGACTCCTGCTCCTCTTCTGCCACTGGCGGCTTCTTCTGAGACACCTGCAAATTGCGCGTGGGGGAGCGAGACTTGCGTCTGGAGCTGTTGACAGGAGTGCCAACCTTCTTGCAGATGCTTGGCTGAATGAGAGAGCAAAGCCCAAAGTAGCGCTGCTAGATCAAAGCCTCAATGTCTCCAAAAAACCTCAGACCTTCGAAGGTGGCTGTTCATGGATGGAGTCACCAATCTCATCAAAGAAGCTTGGCTTGAGCACTGTCGATCAGTTATTCAGTTGTTCGTCCCCAGGCCCTCATGGCATGTGAGTGGCCACGTGTCCTTTCAAACCACGTGCTACACAGCACGGACGGCATGCACACCAGCGTGCACCCGATTTCAAAGCTTGAAAGGAGTAGACTTTGAGAAACAAGGATTTCCATGTCTCTTACATCATCACTTATTTTGGAAGTCTACTGGAGTCTAGATGGACTGTCGGGCCCCTCAAAGAGCATAAATGGATACTTAAAAGATTCTTTGCTCCAATGATTCTGTTCCCTGTATTCCCCCGTTCCCAGCTAGGCACAAAGAAGTAAAATGCAGGCCTGCGCGTCTTCTGGCTCAGCAGCTTTGAGCGTAAGCGATTCGGAACCCACCCAGATGCAGAGTACCTGCGACAAGGGTCGAGCAGCCGGGAGAGCAACCTCATTCCATGAAAATGGTCGAGGGTTTGGGGTTTGGAGCGGCTGTTGGTGTGGATATTGCACGCGGATTTTTGCAGCTGCGGGATTTCTAAGTTTGCTGGGGGAGTTTTCATGTGAATCAAGGGTGGACAACATAGCAGAACAACAGTTGCTGGACAGTGCCATGGGTACAGATGCAAAAAGACCACGGCTGCATGGTGCCGATACAGCGTCAACACCGATGACGCCACATGGCCATGATGGACTAGGCATACGGCTGATCTAGCAGTCACGTTGTCTTGTTTCCCCGCTGAGTCTTTCTGCTTTCCGTGCACGTGAGGAAATGAAAGCACAAAATACCTCGTATCATCCCGCATCAGAACATTAGGAGCATGGTCTCATCGCGAATAGGTAACCTTGGGATGGACATGGCACAACCGCCAAGGCTTGATAGCTTCTTGGAACAACGAGTCCAGCAGCTGGTAGAAGAGGCGCTGAGGTGCCGGTCGTCCGGCTCGACTGGTCCCGAAGTGCAGAAGCAACTGGATGATCTCAGATCCCAGGTCTCACTGCAGAGCAAGGACATGATCATCATCATGGTATATCATGCACACTGCTCACCTGATTTCTTGTGAAGACGCACACTCTCCGTCTCTTAATTCAGGCACGTGCTCCAACTGAGGTAGGCTTTGTGTTATGGGTTTTGGTAAGTGTTTAGAAGAGTTTATGGTGTATTTAACATGGGGTTTCTGTTCCAAGCCAAGATAATCTCAGGAACTATTTTCAGATCTCCCCAAGATTTCAGGAACTGTTTCCAGATTTCCCTTGATTGAGATTTGCCCGCCGGTTGGTTTATTTATAGAGCGCTTTCTGTT